CATTGCATCACCAGCACAGGTGGAGCTTGACCACAGAAAAGTTTTTGCTCATCATTAGATTATTCCTCCTAAGCTCTTAGGAGCTCATTAGAACGGCAGCAATGTTAAACAGTGACCTGAAGCAGTGAGAGAGGTGGCAGGGCTGCATGGAACCAATGCACCTCCAGGCACAGAAAACCTCTCATCCCACTTCCAAAATCAGGACTGATCATTACCTGAAGTTCTGGATGTACGTGTAGGAATCCTCCCTTTGCACAAGCTCAGATTTGACAATAGTATCTCGTAGCCCAAACTTTGATTCTGATAAGGCTGAAGCCATGTTTGAGACCATCATGCTGGAGGACCTCACCATTTCTGTTGTCACCTCTGGTTTGAGTTTGCTTTGCCTGCAAGCGAATGCAGAACTGTGAGATGAAGCACAGGATAAGCACACACCCTGACCAACTTCGTTCTGCTGCTGAGGACGCGATCCAGATCTTCCTCTCTGTTTCACCAGCCAGTGCTCAGAACGAGCAGACAAGAGTGAAACGAGCGCTTCTGATGACAGCTCAGAGCTTCTCTAGATAAAACCAGTTTAACCAACTGAAAGAACAAATCCTTCTGGCTCACCCAGTACAGCCTGTCGGGTCAGGGCTGATTTTGCCCGCCTGGATGTTGATATAAAATCACACACATTTCCTGCTCCTTGGAACAGGCAGATGCCAATCGCCCTCTGCTCAACCCTTCAGATGACAGTAGAAGAATGCAAAACTGTTTTTGTAGGAGAAAATTCCCATTTCTGTCTAGTAAGGAGGCAGCAAGGGTGGGGGTTTTGTTTAGTATCTTGTGGCTCTGTGAGTTACTGCAAGCTCCCTTTGACACAGCTCAGGAATTCCCACAAGCAAGTATATGATATAAATGTAAGGTCAACAACCTGCACGTGAATGCCAAGGATGGCACAGAGACGGACTTTGAAGGATATGCAGCAAGGTCCACAAAGTCCTGGGAACTGAAAAATGAAACTCTTAACATTCTAGGAGTGTATCTATGAGATGGGGTGGCCCTAAGCCAAAGCTCTCTGAATTCAAAACAAACAACAGCAGCCAGTCCTGTCCCACTACACAGCAAAATATGCCCAAATAGGGGGACTGGCAGGACTGGCTCCAAGAGGCAGCGCAGAAATTCCCACTCCAGTTTTGATAGCGTGCTGATGCTGGGCTTCATTTTTCCTCTCTTAAATAGGATCTTAGGGGTCTCTTCTCAAGAAGCCGCTCTAGATCCTGGTACCTGTGGTGAGTGCTAGCAGATAGAAGCAGATAATGCAGCAGCCACATACCCTGTGCTGGTGCCCTGCTCAGACACATTGGGACCACAGAGACCAAGTTCCTCCTCTTGCTTTCCAGCTGAAAACCAGGAAACCAGATAGCAAGCACTCTGCAATTTCTCCTTCCTCTCAACACCAGAACACCATCAGCTTGCCCACTGCAGATCGTTCCTGCTACCCACCATTCCACAGAAGCACCCAGAAAAGAATCACTTTGAATGTGATTCAAGTGAAGTCAGACAGAATCCATACCTGGGAGCAGTCCTGTCAGTGCTGTCCTGGCTCCAGCCTGGATTGACTGCAAGCTTCTTTCCATTCTGCTTGATGCCTTCAGAGCCAACTGCTTCTGGAAAGAAAAAGAAAGTTTCACGTGAAACACAAAGGGGCGTTTAACATAGCAACCACAGGCAAACAGAAGGGAAACCAACGTAGCTTACGTCTGTACAGAGAACCAAAGCATCTCGGTTATCTTGGGATCTGTCACTTATCTGATGGGCTGGTGGGGCACAGCGACAGGCAGGAGGGACACACAGCATGGCACAGGGCTGCAGAGCTGCCCACCCCCCTGGGCTTTATCCCAGGCATGCAGAAAGCTGCACGGATAATAAGCTTTCCCTTTCTGAAGCAAGACAGGAAGTACAAGGAAAGGAAGAACAAAATTAAAAGCACACTGCTATTTAAAGGCTTTCTGCTTGTCTGCAGCAGCACAGCAAAGCACGGGAGCCCCTCCTGCAAAGCAGTGCAGTACAGCCCCTGTGCAAACCCACCACACTGCAGCAGAAACAGTGCCTCAATGCAAACCACACTCCCTAAAAAAAAAAAAAATAAAAACAGAACAGACCCTATGCAAATGCAATTAGATTCAGGTACAACAGTAATTATGTGGCACTTTGTTAGCAAAATTTAAAGAGCCTGCAGCGCTTGTTTTAGCCACGACATTCTGCTCCTACAAGGGGCAAAACAGAGAATTTTGCATCGCTTTTCCATATGTCCACGCACAGAAGGCAATCTCAGGGCTACGACACGTGGCACACAGATCTGAAGATGACACAGAAGATGCTCTTCAGCTCATAAGGTTCCATTCATTCAGCTGAGCACAGTTGAGATAAATGATTAAGTATTATTGCTGCTGTAGTGCATCCTCTGGGGCACGAGCACATCCCACAGACAGAACTCTGAGTACTCTGAGTATAAACACACTGACAAGAAGGGGTCGCATTCACAGCCTGGAAAACCTCTTCTGCCCAAAGAGTCCTCTGAGAAGAAAGGCTGTCTAAGAGGATTAATCAGTGGCTGCTTCCACAAGCACATGATTCAAACCTCATTACGGATCACACACAGCCCCACAGTGCTGAGCAGGAGCAGACTTTGATAAGACAAAACCTCAACCAGCAGCAGCACTGCAGCACAGCGCTCCCTCAGAGCCCATCCAACCCAAAGCGCCCCCGTTGTGTGCGCTGGGATGGAGCCGTGTGTGTTCTCTGCAGGCATTAAGCACTGATTCAGAGCTGCCTGAGCCCCTGCAGTGCTCCTGATAAGCACCACGCTGTGCATCTCGCCAGTGATGTGAACCAACTCGAACTTTGGCAGTAAAGGCAGCAGGAATTGAACTGCTGCTGCTTTTGGAGGAGGGAGCAGAAGTTTGGGCTCTATTTGGACAACGCTGGGCAGCATGGGAGACGTCTGGCTGCTGTGTAGCACTGTGTGACACAAAGATCATGGCCACGCGTCACACCTTCATGTTTGAACCTCATTAACAGCAATAACTTTTATGTCGGATTCTTCTAAGGAAGAGATTAGGCCTGGAAATGGGCTGTTTCCTTCAGATAAGTTTGTATCTAACTAGAAGGGGTCCATCATTTCGCAACCCAACGTGGAATATTTTAGCAATGCACAACCTCATGTAATCCCTGAGTGGGGCACAGAACCAATGAGAACCAGGGATAAGAGAGCAGCAGAACACAGACAGCCTGACCCAGGATTTGCAGTGAGAAGGGACTTCAGAGGCAACGAAGACTTGCTACGAAAAGCATGCAGCAACATTCCAACACCATTCTACAGCAGCAAGGTGTATCCTACCTTCAGATAAAGCCAGACCCAGCTCAGCACCCAGAAGGGAGAACTACCTGTGCCATGCATTGCTTGCAGCAGCGCATCCAGCCCACCCCTCCCTGCACAGGAGCACACAGGCAGAGTCTGCACACACACACAGGGCTCTAGATAAGGGGCCTAACTCAAACTGGGAACAACGACCACAGAAGCTAAAGCCCATTAAAATCCCTTCCCAGATCCCCTGATGCATTCACCAGCCTTAATCCACACAAGACAGAAGGAACCAGCAGTGCTCTATCAGCAAATGGCAGCATTTGCACACTATATAAATGTGCTTTTGCATATGGGACTCTCTGGCTCAGTGCTCATGATCCCGTAATGACAGAGTGGGAGATATTATGGGCAACAGCAGAGAAACCCTCACTCTGTATTACTTTCTGTCCCCAAAGACCTTGTGTGACAGTGCTTTCTTCTTCTAAGAGGGAATAAAAGTAAAGAGAGATCCCTGAACAACTCAGCCTGAAGCAACACACAACAAAACCTTGAGAAGGCGATTTTGTCACAGCTCAGAGGCAGAGTTTCATAGGAGAGCTGCTTCCCAACGAGCTCACAATGCAAAGGGCATTGCTGCGCTCCAGGTGCAACAAAAACATCCCAGCACAGCACCCGGCTCCGGTGCAGCTCAGTGCTTTTCCTCCTAAGCACACGTCCAGGTCCTTCCCAGTTGCTTTGAAGCCCCGTGTTAAACAGCACAGCTGGACAGATGTTCCCCCATCCAAAGCTCAGTGCATTTTGTGCCGCTGTCTCACGTCTGAATTGCAGAGTTCACCTCTTCCCGGCAGAGAACAGAGAGGAGGAATGGCAGCAACAGCCCAGCCAAAGGCAGGTAAAGCAGAAATGGATTGACCTCTATTTTGAACGCCACGCCGAGCGCCGGCGTCGCTCCGCTCTCTGCGCTTTCTCACTCGCTCCCTTCGCACAGCAGCAGCTCCTGGGAGCAGGAGGGGAAAAGGCGAACAGCAAAGCACGGCACGGCACAACACGGGGCGGCCCCACAGCCGGGCCGAGAACAGCTGAAAGGTCGCAGCCACAGCACATGAAAACCGACACCGGATTCACCATCGAGGAAAGCGCAGCCCAGAATCCAGGCCAGCAACGCGGCCCTCGGGGTCCCACCGCTGCCGATCTCCCCCCCGCCGTGCCCAGGAGCGCGGGCTGAGCCGCCGCTGCTCGGATCGAACCCTCCGCCCCTCACCGCAGCCCTCGGGGCAGCAGGGAGAGCTTCCACGGCTGCGAGCGGACAGCGTGCCCTCCCCAAAGCACGACCACGCACTAAGCAAGCGCCCGGACCCCTCCTGACCCTCCCTCCCTCAAACCATCAGGCTCCCATCGCTCGGACTCAACGTCGGCGCGGGTTGAGCACCGCCACCGGCCCGAGCGCGGCGGCTCCGACGGGACGGGACGGACCTCGAATCCCGGCCCCAGCACTTCCCTGCGGTCCCCCCTAAGCGCTCACCTTGGCGGGGCCGCCCGCCCGCCGACATCGCGGCACCCGGCCGCCCCGGTCCCGCTCCGCCCCGGCCCCGCTCCGCCTCGCTCCGCCCGCCGGAGGACGGCTGTCCGTCCCTCCCGCCCCACGCAGGAGCCGGGGCCGGCCCTGAGGCCCTGACCGCAGCACGAAGTCTTTGGGACAGCAGCAGCGTGCAGCGGGCTTCCATCCCCCCGAAAAAGAAACCCAGAGGGATCCGTGATGGGAAGAGCACCGGGTTGCTGCCGGTAACGAGGAAATGAGATCACAGGGCGAGCACAGAGTGTGGGAGGAGACAGCTTTCTGCTTGTGGTCTACCGGAATACACAGAGCAAATCTCCGTTTGGCCTTCTGACTGCACAGCACGCAGGTGTGTATCACAGCGCTGCCTCCACGTGCTGCTCCCCTCTGCTGAGCCCCCTGGTGCTGCAGAACGATGACACAAAGCATCGCTGCTGTGCGTGAGGTTCAGCAGTGAGCACAAATGCAGCCTGGGCTCCTGCATCCCTACCACTGAGCACACAGGATCACACAATGGCCAGGGTTGGAAGGGACCTCAAGGATCACGAATCTCCAACCCCCCTGCCACATGCAGGGCCACCAACCTCCCCATTTAATGCTAGACCAGGCAGCCCAGGGCCCCATCCAACCTGGCCTCGAACACCTCCAGGAAGGTGTTCACACGTACCTGTGCTGCACTTGCTGACCTCCTGCAGGAACGTGCGGGTGTGTGAACCAAAAGGCAGCTGCACTGTGAGCCCATCGCCTTGGGAGCGGATCCGAACGGTCACATCTGAACCTGTGACACCAAGAGGAGGAGAGGAGCATGCATCAGTGCTGCCCATTGCTCAGGAACAGCCCCATCTCTGCTCCCTGCAGCTAAGCATGCCTCTGCAGGCTTTCATCAGCAGGTTTGCCCAGGTCTTACCATTTCACTTTCACATTTTGCGTGAGGATGTAATTAAAAAAATGCAAAAATCACTCTCTAGAATATGTTTTGTTCTGGGAACACGATGGAAACAGGGACGGGTACCCTGGGAGGAGCACAGGATGCTGCCAGGCTGCATGGGGGGTGGGTCAGAAAGACCAAGACTCAGCTGGAACTGAGCAGGAACTGGCAAGGGTCACAAAGAAGGATAAGATGGGTTTCAATAGGTACAGCAACTGGGAAAGGAAAGTCCAGGAGGGTGAACCACCCCTTAATGAGCAACAAAGCCAGGCTGGTGACAACAGACCAGGAGAAGGCTGGCTGGGCTGTGGGTGTCCTGGGCTGCAGATTTGGACCAGATGTCCTTCAAGGGTCCCTTTCAACTCAAACCATTCTGTAATTCTATGATTCAGTGGCTGCAGCAGCACAGGCATAACAGCAACAGCAAAACTCACCAATGACGTGAAGGTCACCATCAGGTATCACTGCAAACAGAAACAAAAGTGCCGTTACAAAGCTGAGTGACAGGACTGTAGCATTTGATTTAACACTTTGAGATCGGATTACTGAGCACAGCCTTCAGATTCTGTCTATCTGCTCCCTGAAGGCACAAGGGTGGGCAGTGCAGCCCTGCAGGAGCCCATAGTGCTGCTCTGGATTGCAGGATTGATAAAGCAGAGCCCTTCAGCTGGGCCATGAGATGCATCAGCTTCACCAAGGATTACAAACTGATGAGAAAACGTGACGGGCTGAGTAGATCCCAAAGCACAGCAAGTAAACAACGAAATACAGACTCCACATCCCTCCATCCCCTCCTCTGGAGGTGGCCACTGAGCCCCGAAGCGCGTGAATACCTTCTTCCACTGCAAACCCCTCTGAGATGGGGATAACCCTCTCCAGCCACACATCCTCCGCAGCGATGGCCATCCGCCGGTGGGTGTAAACGTAGATCCTGCGAACACGGAGCAGAGGCGGAGGGATTGCCTCGATCCGGGCAGATCCCACCCCACACAAATCCCTCCCCCTCCCCAAGCACAAGCCCGCTTTGCCCCATCTCGGCACCCACGCGTGCTGCCCGCCGCGCTCCACCAGGCCCAGCAGCCGGCTCTCCACGCTCTGCCCCGCAGCCACGGCTCCTTGCACGGCGTGCGGCGTGGGTCAAGGAACGGCAAACCGAGATGGGAGTCGAGGGGTCAGAAAGGGAAGAAAAAAGAGCGAACTCGCCAGCCTTTCCCTGGACGCGCACGGGGCAAAGGATATGATTCGACACGTCGCCCCATCGAGAAGCGTCTCCTGGATGGCCACCGACTGGTCCATCCTCCGGGCCGGCGGTCAGCGTGGAGCTCGGGGGGACCGGGATGGGGGTCGGGACGGGGATGGGGGTCGGGTCCGCGATGCGGCCGCGCTCGGTGTCGCCGTTGCCGGGAGCCGCCGCCGCCCCGTCGCCCCTCTCCCCGCCCCGCGCTCCCGGCCTGCCCCAGGGCTCCCTTAACCCTTCGGCTCCGGCCGCAGGGACGGAGCTGCGCCGGTGCGGCCCCGCGAGGATCTCCGGGCTTCGGCAGCCGCTGCTGGGGCTCCTCACCGCGGCCGGAACCGCCGCCCTCCGCCCGGACAGAGGCTCGCAAAGCGCCAGGAAGCGACCGAGCATCATTTCCCTCTCCGCTGGATGGGACCGGGAAGGATTTTTAAACGGGATGCTGCTTGGTTAATGGGGCGGAGAGCCGGGAGAGCGGCGAGAAAGGCTGAGCAGAAGCGGAGTACGGGCGAGGGGGGGCACGGAGCGTCCTCAGGCTGAGGGTACTGCGTGTACAGAGCCGGGCCTGCGGCAATGCAGAGCTGCTAACTTCCTACTGCCATCAGGAAGGGCTCTTTTTTGCGGTAGCACCTGGAATGTTTTGTTAAATGTCGTGACCCAGCTGACTTCCGAGCTTTAATTATGCAAAGAACTGGTGCAAAGGGTGAAAGCAGGTGCTGGGAAATGTCAGCAGGCGCTGACGTGCCCAACAGGGGAGCTCGGTGAGTCAGCTCTTTCCGCTGTAAGTAACAGCAAAAGTCGGGCAGATACGGAAAAAGCAGCAGCCCGTGCTTTCTGCTCCCTTGTCGGCAATGGTGCTGAGCAGATAAAAGACTGCAAAGAGGAAATGAAAGGAGAACAGTGAGAAATATCAGCTACAATCTCCAGAGCGCTCCTACAAGAAACGTGGTGCTGCGAGTCGGTTCTGAAACAGGAAAATCCGAGAGCTCCGTCCCGTTGTCACTTTCTGCTGATACACTGATGTGACAACACGGCCCAGGCTGTGGCATGGCTTTGGTGCAGCATCACTGCAGCGTGGAGGGGCTGGTGATGGCTGCACACTGCCTGCCCTCAGCCCCACATCCACTGCATGGAGCTCCCAGCAAAGCCATCCTTCCTGCTGCTGTCCCAGCACAGCCCTATGGCTGGGATTCCCTTCCCATCGCATCCATCGAGCTGAGCTGTGCCCAAAGCAGCCTGACATCGACTCAAGGGACTGATGCTTCTTTATTATTGTTATTATTTTATTATTTTCTTAAAAGAGAACAGGAAGAGGACAGAATGTGTTTGTGCAGTGGCACCACAGAGCCATTACCAGCTGCCTGTGATGCCTGTAACTACATTGTGTAAGCTGTGCCTTAGGTCAAGGCAGAGGTTCCTGGGTTCCAAGCTGGCTCAGCATCCTCTCACTCCTATACCTGAGGTCTCTCTTTCCAGCATCCACCATCCCTGCAGCAGAGGTGCAATGCTGCAGCTCACAGCTCCTGGAGATGACATGTAATGGGGATCACCTGCATGGGGGGAGAAGTCACCATCTACAAACTCCAGGGATCTACAAGCATGGGGATGCAACAGAGAGTGTTTGATAGTGACCTCAGCTGAAATCAAGAAGGGGAAAGGCTGCAGGTCTGCTGTTTACCCGTGTAGGGGAGTGGAGGCCTTGCAGCTCAGGAGGAGGGCTGCCCCCCACACCAGGAGCTGCAGCAGTGGGGACACAGCCACCTGCCCAGCACCGTTCACATGAACTTTGCCATCCAGCTTCAGGCAGCTGCCCTTGAGGGTGGCGGGGCAGCACTCCTGGAAGCAGGCAGCCTTCACCCCCTGGGCACAGACAGGCTTGGCAGCCTTGCAGGCTTTGCTGCATCCTGCCACGTAATTGAAGCCCGTCTTCTTCATCTGGAAGGAGGAGAGAGATTCATCTGCTGGTCCTGCTCAGCCTCTGGCATTTGCATTGAGGGGATGCACACAGACTGCAGCACATCCCCCCTGTCCTGTCCCAGCCATACCTCACAGAAATCATGCCCAACAAAGCATCTAGTTGTGCTCTTCTTGCCTTTGAAGCATCCATCCCCATGGCAGGAGAACGCTGCACAGATTTTCCCCTGCAAGACAAGACCAGAGGAGACCTGTGCAGGTGCGGTGCAGGCAGCAGGATGCCCAACGCCAGATCTGCACCTCGGGCAGCCCTTCCTTCCACAGTGCCCTCCCAAACCTCCACTGCATCTCAGCATTTGCCATCATCTGTCTCTGGCATTTCACACTCAGAGATAAGAGACAGCTCCCATCTGCCACTGCACGAAACCTCACTGCAACACCACCACAAGTTTCAAACCTCCTTTTCCTTCCTCTCAGTGAGGCTGGGCAGAGATAAAGCTCCTTCCAGCCCATCACTTGGGTGCCCCAGCATCACCCCACCCCTTCTGTGGCTCGAAGAAACTGTCCCACAGCCAGCTCAGGCCGCTTGGAGCAATGCAGATGGTGCATTGCTTAGCACCCTTACATCTCTGTCCTTGCAAAGCTCATTAAGGATTTGCTCCCCTTTCGAGGCGGCGTTTGCACAGAGATCACATCGGGTACCTACGTTTCGTGGGGGGGGCCGCAGGGTCGTGGTGGTGGTGATGGTGGTCGTGGGTGGCACAGTGGTGGGGGGCAGATCACCTGTGGGCACAGAGGAGCTCTGAAGACACAGCCCACGTGTGGCCTCCGTGGGGCAGAGGAACTGCAGCGATGCAGCCAGCCGAACATGATGGGTCTGCACACCCATTTCTCTCGCATGCAGTGGGATAAACCACGGAGCAGTTACCATAGGAGCTCGCATTGAGCTGCAGGCAGAGTGAGGTGTTGCAGCACTCCACGGTGCACTGCTGTAGGGCCATGCTGCCATTGGTCCTGCACGGCTCTGCCCTGCACACACTGCTGCACCTGGCAGTGTAGTTCGTGCTGGAGAAACGATACAGCTGCAACAGCAGAGCCAAAGGGAAAAAAAAAAAAAAACAAACACTAGAAGTGTGAAGAGAGGCAATTACAGAGGAGCAAAAATAATGGACAAACTGTGAGAGAGGCAAAGGAAAATCAGGTGTTGTGCTCACGGCCCCCAGCAGCCACCGTAAGCTCCGTACCTCACACAAGGTCTCATTGTGGCAGGTGGCCGTTGTGTTCCTGTGGGCTTCATCCTGGTAGCACCTCTCCCCGAAGCACTGGAAGCTCTGACAGCTGAGCTGGGGGGAGGACGTGCCAGGGGTCACAGCGCAGCAGAGCTTCTGCATGGCCAGCATCCCCCTTCCCTCTCCTTACCAGGGTTTGTTCTGTAAGGTTCACGGAGGTGTTGGCAGCCACTGAAGTCTGGCTGATGGCCACCGAGGTGGTGGTGGTGGTCACTGAGGTGTGGATGGAGGCAGCCATTGAGGAACTGGTGGCAGACATCAAGGTCTGCTTGGTGGCCACCAATCCCTGGTTGGAGGCAGCCATTGAGGCACTGGTGGTAGCCACTGTTCTCTGCTTGGTGGCCACCAATGCCTGGTTGGAGGTGGCCACTGAGCTCTGCTTGGTGGCCACCACTGCCTGGTTGGAGGTGGCCACTGAGCTCTGCTTGGTGGCCACCAATACCTGGTTGGAGGTGGCCACTGAGGCACTGGTGGTAGCCAATGAGCTCTGCTTGGTGGCCACCAATGCCTGGTTGGTGACAACCACTGAGGTGTTGGCAGCAGCCACCAAGGTCTGCTTGGTAGCCACGGAAGCTTTGGTGGCAGCCACTGAGGCGTGGTTGGTGGCTGTTATGGACATGTTGACAACTTTGCGCCCTGAAAAACACAAAGTTCCCCCTTGGTGAAGGAAATAGCATCCATGTGCTTAACAAGTTGTGGTTCCCTATCCCAAACCAAACCAAAGACCCGTTTGCAACCAGCAGTGAGGAGCCTGCCCAGCAGGACAGAGATAATCACTGACTATGGAAATGGTACAGCAGCTTCTCCCTTCCCCTTCAAGGCACACTGTATAGGAGATTACAGCCATTTCTGGGGTCAAAACCCCAAGAAAAGTTTCTTTTGCACAGCTCTGCCTGATAGCTTACAGCCAAGAGAGGACAGGGACATTGTCCCATCACACCAAGTTGCCTTTGCCCCGTTCCCAAGAGGATCCTCTCCTGTGCACTCACCTGCTATGGCAAGAGGGCCCTGGGTGCAGAAGTGCAGAGCCAAGACAGAGAGCAGCAGGCCTGAAACAGAGCAGAGACAACTGGGACCATCAAAGGCCAAGTTCAGCTCTGGCAGCCTCTGTGTTGGTGGGTTGGTTGGTCTGTGGGGCACCAGCTCTGGGATGGATTCTGCTCAGAGCACACATTACCTTGAGCAGGGAGGAGCTGCCGGTGAGCTGCCATCGTCCCCACCAGCAACCTCAGCTGGGACCTGGCAGACAGATGCAGTCAGAACTGGGCAATCAGAATCAGCTCATCACCCAGAAGTTATCCTTCTGGTTTGGCATCAGGGACCAAGAGTCAGGCCCTTCCAGTCTCGGTTGCAGCAGCAGAAGGCTGAACAAGGACTGAGGAACCCTGGAAGCACTTCTCCCCATGGGCTCAGCCCAGCCCTGCTAAACAGGAGCCCCCCGGGAGGCCACGTGCTGCTGTTGGTGTGGTAACCCTCCACCCTCGTGTAACACAGAGCTCTGAGCGGCGCCAGCTTGGCACCACACACAGCAAACTGCTGATGCTGTTGTCAATGAAGAAGCTGCCCAGCTCAGGATGGAGGCACACACATCCCCGTTGCATGGAATTCTGAATCCAGTCGTCTGCATTGCTTCCCAACGTTGATCCCTGCACTGCTCACACCGTGGGTGGGGAAGTTCTACCTCCTCAGGTGCTTCCTGAGATACACTACTCTCCATCGAATGGAAGCAGACGTTTTCCTTGCAAAATCTTTGCCAATTCAAGAAAGGAAACAGCGGAGATAACTCCAAACAGGTTCCAAGGCTGTTTTCTGAATACTCCCCTTCTGCCTTAGCATTTAAGCTCAGATAGCATTCCTAGGGCACTCTTTCAGAGTGACAGAAAACAACACAGGCTGGAGTTTCTCACCTCCCAGAGCAGGGCAGCTCCCCCACCCAGAGCAGGTTAGGAGAGCCCTACAGAGGAGGGTAGAGCACAGCTGGGCTCACCTCCACAACGGGCTGAGATCAAACCAGAAAAGGCTCCCCCCGAAACAAGCTTCTGCCCCCAAGCAGGGAAAGGAATCTGCTCACAGACTCACCCTGTGTCCGTGCCCTGAAAGCCCCTGCGTGCCAGAGGAAGCCTGCAGCTGCTGCCAGAGATGGGGAGCCTCTGAGCACCTCAGAGGCACAGCTCACACCCTGGTGCCAGGGAGCAGCCCCAGCCTGCCAACCAGCAGCTGCACAAACCGTCACCCAGGGAGAAGGGTTTGTTACCTGCAGCTCTGCTGGATTTGGAGATGCAAACATCTGTGTGCAGCAAAAAAACAGAGAAAGGGATTTTTAAGGCTAGAGGTGTCACACCAGAACATCTATACTGAAATGAAAGCCCACTGTAGGCAGTGTGAGGGCTGCCACAAAGCACAAGGCCTCTGCCCCACGCCTCTTTTCTCCTCATGGACTTTAATTCGTGTGGCAGTACCACACTTCAAGAGAAGCAAAGGAAGGATCCGTGCTAGCATCTGCCAAAGTCAGTGCCAGCACTGGACAAACGAACACAAACTACCCACACGGCAGCCCATCCTAAACAAAGTTCATTTATTGGTTCCCTGAAAAAAATCCCAGTAGCCAAAGCCTCACAGGAAGCCAGACTTGAAACCAAAGCAGCAATGCAAGCCAAATATCTGCTCTGCAAAGGAGCACAGACAGACATTAAACTATTATATAGTACAAGATTGCCAGCATGCAATGCTCGTGTGTGCTTTAAAGAAGGCAGTCCTCATCATAAAAACTTCCATCAGCACTGGAATAAGAGAGAAGTAATTGTTTCTAACAATTCAAACTGTGTAGAAAGTTTCTGAAAGACACCAGTATCAAATCTCCTCCTTCCAGCATACAAAAGGAGACGCATTTTCAGCACTTCCTAAGTTAAAATCCATTTATTTTTAAGGTTTTTAATACAAAATAACATCACAAGGCTGCTTCTCACAGAGGGCTTACTAGAAAGCGATTCTATGAAGTATCCTATGTTCATGCAAGTAGAAAAAAATCAATAAGCTGAAGAACTGGAGCTGGTGACACTTCTTTTTCTTTTTTCTGATGTGAAATCCTTCACCTGGGAAAAGTTACAGCAGCCCCTGACGTTTCAAGTCTTCGTAGGTCTTTTTGTTCACCACATTCCCACTGGAGTCCTCATATTCCTCCTGGAATAGAATGAACAGTTTGGGGACACCTGCATGCAGCCTGACTCAGGTTGTGCTACAGCATTCACAGTTTAGCTCCAGTTCCATCTGAGCACAGCCACTCTGCCAGGAGCCTCCCTGCATGAAGACATGCAGTGCATCTACCAGCAAGCTCAGCACCATCTTATCTAGACTCAGAATAATGACAGAAGGCTCTGAAATGTCCTGGAGACCTCAGCCTGTGATGCAGCTTGTGTTAGAAACTCTCCAGCCAGAGCCACTTCGTGCAAGGTAGATGAAGACCCCCAAGTACACTGGACGAGAAACATCCCAGTGCCTCTGCCATCTTACCTCTGTATCAGGCTGCCACCTCTCTGAAGCCTTCTGTAGTTTCAGCTTTGCCCACACTGTAAATACAAAGGCATTCACAACATGAACACCATTTCACTTCAAACGCTGCGTCTGAAACTACTGAAATGCATCAGCTTTTAAAAAAATTCAATAAAATAAAATAAATCCCAACCAGTGTCACTTCTGGGCCTTTCACTGAGTACTGCACTGAGTACTGCAGGCTTTCAAAACCTCCCTGGAGGCTCCACCATTTCTGAATGTTTTGCTGGCTTCCCCATGGAGACTGTGAGGAGCATCAGTTAAGTAACACTTGCATGGGATCACACAGTCACACTCTGAATAAATGGTGGCCTGCTACACTTGGCTGAGATTCCATACATAAAGCACTGCAGACAAAAAAGCTGGCAACAAACAGACACTTGGCTGGCATTCCTAGCAAACATCTATTTCTGCAGGCATCCAGCAAGAAACAAAGACATTCTCCCTCTAAGAACTGTGAGAGATGTTCCAATGAAGGGTCATCCCAGCAGCATTGTGCTTCTTACACTTCTCCCTTAGTCACCAGTTGTGGGATAATACATTCCTGGCCCCAGCTAGCAAATACCAGCGTTCTCATAGCACAGTCCCTGTGCAAAGAAATGCCATCTAGACTTACGTGAGACAGCGTCCTCAATCTGTGTGACATTGGCAAAATGTGCAGTGTTGGGAATGCCCAGGCATCTCATCCCGTGAGCGTGACGCCACTCCTGGGAACGAGAGGCAAAAGTCACTGAGAGGGAATGGCACCTCACCACAGTGCCTGCTGGGAGGCCTATGATGAGCTAAGCAGTGTAAAACAAACGCTAACAAAACACAGATCTCCCAAACATTGTTTTTTTTCTGATGGTAACAAGACACTGAGTGCTGTGCATCAATCAGGCCTGGATATCGGTGTTCAAACAAGAGACTGGGTATAAATTGGCAGAACAGATCTTTGCATGCTCTGGGGAATTTCCAGTTTCAATAGCATGGCCTTGCAGCAGCAGTGCAGGCACACATTTTGTAAGTGGAAGAAATGCCACTCAGATGCTCATGTCATCTTCTGATCACTTACTACAAAGATTGTCTGAATGTGGCACTGATGGCTCTTGTGACCAAACCTCACTTACTGCAAAATGGCGTTGAAAAGCTTTGGGCCCTCTGTAGGTGTAGTTACCACAGATCTCACAGTTGTAGTTGATGTTTAAACCATGCAATTTATACAACCAGTACGGGATTGGCTGAGAAGGGAAGACAAACAAAGATTAGGCCAAGTGACAAGGGAGCTTCAAACAGAAGAGTGGAGTGGGATCCCCCACTGGTTCAGAGCTAAATCCAGACCCAACAGCCTCAGCTACCTTGCCATCCCAACCAAGGGGCAGATTTTTAGGATTATAAATGATTTCATTTTCTTCATCCTCGCTCTCGCTCTCGCTGATCTGCTCTTCTTCCTCCTCCTCCCTCTCCTCCCCTGTCCGCGCCTGCTTACGCTGCACGTTCTCATGAGTGAGGTGTCTCTGTTCCTGGAGTGTGAGAAGGACAGAAGGAACTGTGTTCACACAACAGCAATAAAATAAGATGGTAAGCCAATGGCAGCTGCCACCGGACCCAAACTGAAGCAAGGATTTAAGGCAAGCATTAAGGAGGAGTAAGAAAGAAAGAAAGGCAGGCAGTTTCTCCACAGGAAACATGTAGACTTCTGGAAAGAAAAGCAGTTCTTGTGGACACAGTCTATGAAGATGCTGGGTAAAAACAGAATGATCTTCTGGTCACTGCTGGACAGGTCTGGGTGGGGAGGGGAGAAGGGAGGGGAGGAGGGGGAGTGGACAGGGAGGGGAGGATGGAGGGGAAATGGAGGGGAGAGGGGAGGGAGGAGGGAGGGGAGAGAGGGAGGAGGGGGAGAGGAAGGGAGAGGGGAGGGGGGGGAGGGGAGAAGGGAGGGGAGGAGGTTACTTTTTGGAGTAACCAAAAGCTCAAAGACAAAATAAAATTCTTACCCCAAGAACTTCTACATATTCATATATCTGAGCTTCCAGGAATGCAAGATCTTTATTTCTTTCAGTGTCTCTGAAAGAAGAGAAGGGAAATTTCACTAAGCCCATTCTAGAGCTGCAAACACCAAACAGGTGAACTCCTAAGGACAGTTTGACTCCAGTGCAGCAAAAGAAGGAAAAAGCTGACATAAACTAAACTGCATGCAAACTACTCAGCTCTGATATCTCACATTTGGTTCAGGACCAACATAAAAGGATTCCAACACTCTGGGAATCTAACACAACTCTACAGTGGTGATGTTTATCCCCCAGTGATGGGATCAGCACCGACCTGAGAACAGCCTTTAAGAACTCACCTTTTGATTCCCTTTGTCTTTGGATTCTTAGCAAACAAGGAAGGATCCAGTGCTTCCAGGGACTTGCCTTTAGTACTGAAAAGTCTCTGCGCACGCTCTTCCAGAGTCCTGGGGAGAAACAGGGAGGAGATGAACTCAGATCAGTTTCTTTCTATTTCCAGAATATTATCTGAATTCGTGCAGCACCATCATAAATCCAGCTTTTAAGAGGAGAAGAGCTTTTCTATGATCTTTGTTTTTTAGACCAAATTCTCCTACACGACAGACTCCAGTACAGCATGCTTTTCAAAACTGCACATCACAGAATTCCCTGATTGGCTTTCAACATGTTGA